TAGCTTGGGTGGATTCCATTCTTCCCACGATTCTATCATTGATGCAGATTTTTCCATATTCTCTTTGTGTTCTGCCATTTTTGCATATCATATATCAGGAATTGTACTGAGTACCTCATAGATATTTTGTTAATCAGTACAGTGATTTTATGATGTAAGTATCATGCCATTTATACAAATGAGGAAATAGGACTAGAGAGATTAAACTACTGGCCCAAATTTGGAAAGCTGTAGGTGGCATAGATAAGATTAATTTCAGCTGAATTCCATTTTTGCTTGAGTTCTTGACCTTTAAAGTGGTTAAAAAGCTAGCTTTTGTTGATAAAGACTTCTCTTATTCTAAGTAAGAACTGAGGAGGCTTCTCTTTAGTTCACAAGTTACTCAGAAGCCATTCCTTAAAAGCTGCTACTTTGGGACTCTCTTGTCCCCTCCTGGCATGAGCCAGGAGCTCTATTCTCTCACTTTATTTAAAAAAAAAAAAAGGTTGCTAGCTTAAAGTGATTTGATAGCAAATATTAGGTATTTGCATACAAGTTTTAGTCGTAGGGGGAACACATTACATGTCGTATAATGTCTTTTTTTCTTTCCTACCTGTCTTTTTAAAAAGAATAAACCATAATAAATGAAATAAACCTATTGTCAGTTCTTCTAGTTTTCAAGTCAAACTCCTTGATTGATTTTTCTCTCATACCCAACATCTAATCCATAGCAAACCAAACAAAGCTCTACCATCAAACTGTATCTAGGATCTGATTGCTTCTTACTAACCCTACTACTATCACCCTAATTTAATCCAGCACCATTTCTCACCTGGAGTCTTATAATTTTTTATTTTTACAATTGCTTCCCTTTAGTCTCCTTTAAACATAAAAGGTAGACTGATCTGGTTCATCACAGTCCCAAATCTTGTCACTCCTCTCTTCCAGGTTCTCCAGTGAATTCCTTTTTAATTTACTGTGAAAGCCAAAGTCCCTAACATGATTCAGAGAGTTCTTTGACATGGCCTTTTATTGTCCCTCTGGCCTTATCTTTATTATTTTCCCACTTGCTTATTCTACTCTACACTGGCCACCTTGCTCATTTTTGAAATGGCTGTATACTCCTACCTTAGGACATGCCCCTAAGTTGTCCTGGGGTTGTGGTGCCCCAGATTTCTGTGCAGACCATTTCCCTACTACCTTGAAACAGTTATTCCAATGTCAACTTCTCATGAGGCTTTCCTGACTACCTTGTCTAACCCAACCGAACACTTCCTATCCCTTTTTCCTGCTTAATTTTTTTTCTTATCACTATCTAACCTTAGTATATAAGGTCTTCACTTATCTTGTTTGTGTCCATCTTTCCACTAGATTGTAGAACCATGAAGGGATTTTTGTTTGTTTTATTCACTTCTATATGTTTGGTTATGTAGTCAGTAACCGATATGTAGTATGTTGAATGTGTGAATGTTTTTAAAATTGTGGAGTTTTCTGGAAGTATTTATAAGTATTTACAGTTGGTTCATTCTAGGTGCTGGGGTCAGTTCTAACATGTCCTTTGGTGACACTGTTGGAAATCTGGACTGAGAGATTAGACTGTTACGACATTTTTCATCTTGCTTCTGAGCTTCATTTAATGTAGCATAAAGCAGTGATGTTGGTATTATTACTTAAAATTATAAACATGGTTAGTTTGGGAACATAAAAATCTCTTTCCCTGAATCTTTAAAATTCTATATTAAAGCTGCTGTTTAAAAGGTTAATGTATTAATATCTAGACCCTCTGTGATAGAAAACTTGGATATTCGCTGTAGTCCACTTAACAGTTGAGTTTTAGGAATTAATCAGTATTGAGACTGAGGAGTTTCATCCAAGGGAACTTTTTTTTTTTTAATCAAAACAACTATGGAGTAATTAAGATAGTGTGGTATTGGTAAAAGATAGATCAGTATAACAGAATAGAGAGCCCAGAAACAGACCCACATAAATACAGTCAGCTAATCTTTGGCAATGGAGCAAAGGCAATCAATGGAGAAAAGGTTTTCAACAAATGGTACAGAAACAACTGGACATCCACATTCAAAAAAACAAATCTAGACACAGACCTTATGCCAGTTGCCAAAATTAACTTAAAATGTATCACAAATCTAAATATAAAATGCAAAACTATAAAACTGGAAGATAACATAAGGGAAATATAACCTTAAATTTAGTGATAACATCTTAGTTACATTAAAGGCATGATCTATGAAAGAAAGTATCAACAAACAGAACTTTAAAATTAAAAATTTCTGCTTTGCAAGATGAAAAGATTAGCTACAGATCGGGAGAAAATATTTGCAAAAGACATGTTTTATAAAGTACTTGTATCTAAAATATACAAAGAACTCTTAAAATTCAGCAGTAAGACAACAACCAAATTAAAAAAAAATGGGCCAAAGACCTCAATAGACACCTCACCAAAAAAGGTATATAGATGGCAATTGAGTATATAAAAAGATGCTCCATATCATGTCATTAGGGAAATACAAAAGCAAAATGACAGTGAGACATTATTATACACCTGTCAGTATGACTAAAATCCCAAGCACCAGCACCACCAAAAACTGAGGAGGATGGGGAACAACAGAATTCTCATTCTTTGCTTCTGGGAATGAAAAATGTTACAGCTGCTTTGGAAGACAATTTGGTGGTTTCTTATAAAATTAAACATACTATTAACTGTACAGTTCAGTAATCAATTCCTTGGTATTTACCCAAAGAAGTTGAAAAATTATGTCCAACACAAAAACCTGTACCTGGATACTTGTAACAGCTTTATTCATAACTGCTGAATCTTGGAAGCAACCAAGATGTCATTCAGTAGGTGAATGGATGAACTATAGTACATCCAGACAATATAATGTTATTTAGAGGTAAAAAGAAATGAGCTATTGAGCCATGAACAGGCATGGGGAAACCTTAAATTCATTTTACTAAGAGAAAGAAGCCAATCTGAAGAGGCTACATACTGTATGATCCCAACTATATAACATTCTGGAAAGGACAGAAGTATGGAGACAATTAAAAGTCATTGGTTGTGTGAGAGGGGAAAGAGGTGAATAGACAGGATTTTTAGGGCAGTCAAAATAAAGTCTATGATACTATAATAAAGGATATGTGTCATTATACTTCTGTCCAAACCCACAGAAGGTATAACACAAAGTAGATTATGGACTTTGTGTGATTGCGATGTGTTAGTGTAGTTCATCCTTGGTTAAAAAAAAAAAGTACCATTCTGGTGAGGGATGCTGATCATAGAGGATGCTATGCATGTATGCGGACAGGGGATATATGGGGAATCTTTATGCTATGCAAGTATAGGGGCAGGGAATATATGGGGACTCTCTGTACCTTCTCCTCAATTTTGTTGTAAACCTAAAACTCTAAAAAAAAAGTCTTTATAAAAGGCTGTGGGGGATAAATGTTGCTTCCACTCTGGGTTTTGAGCCCTAAGGTACCTGCCTGAACACTCAGCAGCAACTGTACTTATCAGATAAAACCTGTCCATCCCAGATCTGTTCTTCAGCACCGTTCAGCAACAGACGGGTCACAGAACATCCTGCTCAGCTCATCCACACACTGTCAGTAGGGACCCCAGCCCTGCTTCCTTAATTCTTAGCTAACAAGAGGAAGATGGACATTGTTTAAAAAGAGAAGTTACCAAATCTCCACATTACAAGACTTTTCTTTCTTAGACTAGCAGAATAAAGGCTAATAAACCCAGTGGAGTTGTAAGTCAATGTACTACACGTGGTCAAACTCTGAGCTTGTGCAGTGTTGAGATCTTACAACTTTTTATAACCTACACTCTTCAGACAATATTTATGCCTAGATTTTTCTTGAAGGAATAGGTATTTTTAATTAACAGTTTAAATGTCATGCATCATCAGTTAAGGGTTGGATTCATATGCCAGTAACAGATAACTTGATAAATAGTGCCTTAAGCAAGTGAGGATTTACTTTTCTCATGTAGTATGAAGTCCTTGAGATGCAGTTGCTCAAGGATGTACTCAGGGAACTGTATTCTGTCTTCCTAGCTTAAGTTTTTTGTGTTCATGGTCACAAGATGGTTGTTTCTCTGAAGATTTCATCAGTTTTTGGAAGGAAAAAGAAAGATAAAGGGAAATATCTTTATAAGATGTTGCATTTTTTTGGAAGAAACAGTGGCCTCTCACAGGTTTTTACTACCTTTTGTTGGCCAGAACTATGTCATAGTTGGTATGACTTGATATTTAACTCAGTATCTGTAATTAGTGTAGCATAGTGGTTAAAAACATGGATCTGAGTTTGAAAATTGGCTGTGTTACTTCCTAGCTGTGTGACTTTAACTTCTTTGTGCCTCAATTTCCTCATCTATAAAATGCATCTTGTAGTAGGTACCTACTAACACTGCAATGTTGAAAGGATTAAATGAACTAATGCAATAATTTTTTAATGGATATCATTTGTGCTCTTTTAATTATTAGCTTTCATTAATCTTCATTACCTAGAAGAATTATTGAAATTGAATTTCTAAACCTATTATTTAGGGAATTAGATTTCTTTGAGATAGGAAATAAAGAGGGCTTTTAGATGAGCAGGTCTGGGTACGTGCGTTTTGAGTAGAGGGATAGTTGAAGAAGATGGTAGAACTTTCTTAAGAACTCTCGTGATTGCATTGCACTATTAAAAATTATGGGCAGTTTAAAGTATTGGGGCCATTTTAATTTAATCACTTAATTCGTTTTACAGTTTGATGGCCCTTAGGGTCTTCCTGAACAAGTTGTCATTGTTGCCAGCAATCCTCTATAAAGTTCTTTCAGCTCTATAGAAATATCATCTTTCTTTGATAGAATGTTCAAAGACTTAGCTATGTATTGAAATATGATTTAGCTATGTATTGAAATATGATTTTTTGTGAAATTATTACTGACCTTTTCCAATTTATAATCACTCTACTTAAAAAAAAAGTATCAATTATTTTTCTTTTTTCTTTTTAGCCCTATCTGCTTTGATATGATTGAGGAAGCATACATGACGAAATGTGGCCACAGCTTTTGGTAAGACAATTTTATTTAGCAAAATTGTTTTTTGGCAATTTTTAACTTGTGTGTAAATATAGCCAGTTTTGTTTTTTAACTACAAGATAACTAGTTTTGGTTATCTTGTAATCATATTATTCCTTTGACTGAGATAGCTTTAGAGGTGCAGTAGCTCAAGGCAGTAGCATATGGGTGGTGCATAATTTCTTTGAAATACTTAGATTTACCATAGGCCTGCAGATGGATTTTAAAAACTTGTTTGATTATTAGTTATTAAGGAGGTTTGATTGATCTGTGGGGGTGCTGGGTAGTCAGCTTGAAGCATGAAACACCTTTCTCACTTGGGGGATAGGTGTGAGGCCCAATAAAGCAGGCTAGATGGTCATTGGAAAAGCATATGGAGTATTGGCAAGTTCTGTGTTCTCTTTTAATACTTTGCTCAGTGTTATCTTTAGGTTATATGTCACATTAATCTGTGTATTTAAAAAAAATTATCATTGTGGTAAAATAACACATCAACACAAAATTTACCATCTTATCCACTTTTAAGTTGAGTAATACTATGTTTACATTGTTGTGCAATCAACCCCCAGAACATTTTTCTCTTGCAAAAATGAAACTCCATACCCATAAAACAACTCCCATTTCTCCCTTCCTCTAGCCTCTGTCAATCCCTATTTTACTTTCTGTTTCTATGAATTTGACTTCTCTGGGTAGCCCATGCAGATAGAATCAAACAGTATCTGTATTTTTGTGACTGGATTATGTCACTTAGCATGATGTCCTCAGGTTTCATCTCTGTTGCAGCAGGTGTCACAATTTCTTTTTTAAGGTGACTATTTAATATATATATTATATTTTGTTTGTCCATTCATCTGTTGATGGACACTTGGGTTGTTTTCACTCTTAATTGTTATTAACAATGCTGCTTTGAAGATTGGGGTTTAAATATTCCTTGAGATCCTTCAGGTCTTTTGTGTATATAATTATGGATTCCCTGGATCATATGGTAATTCAATGTCAAATTTTTTGAGGAACCTCTGTAATGTTTTCCATAGCTATAGTACTATTTTACATTCCCACCAAAAGTGCACAAGGAGTCTGATTTTTCACATCCTCAGCAGCACTTATTTCATGTTTGGGTTTTTTTTTTTAAATAGTAGTCATCCTAGTGGGTGTGTAATTTGTATAGTTTAATTCCTTTTGTTTGTTTGCTTTGATTTTTGATTGGGGGCAGTATTTTCTACCTGCAGTCAATCATCTCCATAAATTACTTACACTGCTAATACGTATTTTCAGCTTAGTACTTCTGTTGTGTTCTAATAGTCCTTCTATTCCAATTCATGTTGAAGGTAGACCCATAATTTTATGCTGAAGTTGAATATGGTATCTGGTAGATTGATATCCATTAGCAAGAAGAGTACTGGGTATTATTACCAGTACATAAATCCTCTGGTTTATTCTGGAGTGTGGTAATTCATTGACAGATATATCCAATCTACTAGGCATTTAAAAAGAAGTTTAGAATAAAAATAGCTTTCTTAGCTTGCATTGTCTATGTTCTTTATTAAAATAAAAGTTAACCTCTTCAAAGGTTATTGCTGGTAAGGAGTGATTGTGTGTTCTTTCAGAATCTTTCTGCTGGTTTTTAAAAAAAAGGCAATCTGGGGGCTTTCTTAAATAATTTTTATTTCCTGGTATGTCATTGTATTGATGTTATTATGGTTCATGAATTATGTTCTGCTGTATATTGCTACTGAAATTCCCATCATGTGGGTCTTGCTTTTAAGTTTATATATATAGTCTTGTTCTTTCCAGGCTGATCGTTTAGTAGTAGTGTTCTTTTGGTCCAACTGGTCCAGCACCTTAGCATTCCATAGGAAACCATGTACTTCTCTTAGAGACTTTAGATTTTGATTATTCTGGAAAATTGTGTGATCTGATAATTCTTTGTTAAGGGTGCCTATCCTGGGTTTTGTAGTATTTATCAGTATCCTTGGCCTCTACTTAGTAGCAACCTGTCTCCCTACAGTGTATTAATCAAAAATGTCTCCAGACATTGCAGCATATCACTTAGGGGACAAAATTGCCCTCAGTTGAGAACTATTGATGTAGAGCTAAAAGAACAAGTTCTTGAAGCTCAGGATTCTGGTTCTGGCTCTAAAACTTACCTTTGTCAAGTCACTGAACCTTTCTCCTGACTGCTACTGCTCTGTAATTTCCATTCTCTTCCTATTCCTTTACCTCCTCTTTTACAGATTTAAAGGTGTTGAAGTGTGATGGAGCTTGTAAAGTGAGGTTTTAATTTTTTTCTAACTGCCATCCTCTAACTTGTATGTTCATGGTGGCATTTTAAAAAGTCATTCAGTAGTCTTCTCAATCAGATCAGTAATCTTGCTTCACTATGTTATGAAGTATAATAAATTACTGATTGACTTTTTAATTAGAGAGGACTGGCTTTTTCAGTGAGTCCTGTAATCTTAATGGTGTGTCTTTACACCATTGTTGAAAATCTCCATTGGTTTCTTAAATATTCTTTCTACTTCATATACAAAGAGTTGATGCTTTGAACTGTGTTTTAATTCAAGTTATTATGTTATTATCTGATATGAATGCATTTTAAAATACCTACCAGAGAGCAAGTTTTGGTAGGGTAGATGCCATAACGTTGGCAGGAGCTAATAAACCTGGAGGCTGGCATTCCCACTGTAAGGCTTGCTAAACTGTGAGACATTTTTTGCACTTCTCTTTAAAGCAAAAGCTAACAGTTATTTACCCTGTCCTAATTTCTGAGGCTTATGGAACTTCAGTTTTTAGCACTAGTCTGTTGTATCAACTCTTCGCTTACTTGAATCCTGGCTGGTAATTGGTAGCCAATCAGTTAACACCATTTCAAGTCTCCATCCAAATTAACACTAAATCACATTGGACCTCATCAACTGTTTATCCCTTGTCCCACTTACAAATAAATGCTAAGTCTTTCCTAGTAACAGGTTAAGACACTTCATTCATTCCCACCTGATAGTGAACCTGCTGTTAGCTGTAGTCTAACTGAGACTCAGTGATATAATTTTAAAAATCTGACTTCTATATGCTATAATAAAAGGTTTGCTCTTTCTCTTTCCCCCTTTGGTGCCTCCAGCTTGTCCCCTGCACCATGCTTCTGAGACCTCACGTCTACCTACCAAGTCCTTATTTGTTATTTTGCTTCATTACAAATTAATTATTAACAGGATGTCCTCAGCATTGTCATCTCATAGCATACCTGTGATCAGGCCTGGGTATCACATTGCCCTTTGGGACTTCTGACTAATCCATCATCTTACACCTTATTATTAGTTTTTCTTTATACCTGGTTTTGTGTATGACCACTGGTACTGATTTGTCCTTGCTGTTTTTATATTATAGTCCCTTCTTTTTTCAAGAATGTTTTGATTATGTACAGTTTTTATATCTATGCACCCCTATTTACACAGATAGAAAAATATATTTTGTAGATAGGTATATATTTAATAGAAGCAACAGAGCAGCCATATTCATCTATAGAGAGCTAGTCATTCTTCTAGAGAAGTAGTAATTCGTTATTGTCCAATATACACTTAATAGAGGACCTAGGCATCCATTTATGTCAGCACACTGTGGTACTGAATAATTTTTAAAAGAGTTTCAGTGTGAGTAGCTTTTGAAAATTTCTCAAGTGGACCCAAGATATATAGATAATATATATATATATATATATATGTTAGGCATTTAATCTTTGTGCCTGTGCCAAAGACCCCTGTTAAATTGATCCTTTATAACAGATTCCTTTTTACTTATCTTAAAAGTAAGCAATTTGAGATTAGAAAGTGGTTGATAAGCAGAATGGAGAAACTTGCTTGGATGTAGGTTTTTGTTTTGATAAGTTGAAGGGAAGTAGGTAGATATGAAAATCAGCTTCAGGTGGTAAGGCTGAAGTAAATTTACAGTCATCTGGATACAGAATAAAAAAGGTGCTGTCTTTTTAGGAATCTTTATAAAACTCCTTTGTAATTTCTTAGAAAAAATTATTTCTTGATTGGTAGAAATAACTCATGTTTACTGGAGAAACTTAGATATTTACTAAGAAAAGTTTCCCATAATTATACAACCCAGAGACATACACTGTTAGTATTATGGTGAAGTCTTTTTCAATTTATTTAAAATGTACAAATACACACTTTTTTTTAACAAATGGGGTTATACTGTAATCTGTGGTGTTATAATCATTTTTATTCAATATAGTGATACAGTGACTTTTTTTCTAATGTCAGTTTAATTGTGGTTCAGTCGAATGATATTTAAAAATTTTATTATAGTTTAAGATAATACACAATTATAAAAGTCGAACTTCAGAAATATATGAGGGGAAATTTCTTATAAATCATGTATCTCCTGTTATATTAGTAGTTATTAGATTATTTTTATGGCATGGTTACATATTACAATATGATTTTTTTTTTTTGGCTGTATACATTGCATTGGATTGATGTTTACAAATGTATTGAGACAATTTCTTAGTGTTTTGGTTGCTTCTGATTTACCGACAACCTTGAATTAAACACTTTTCTACATATATATATATATATATATCTGCTTATTTCCTTAGAATAAATGCCTAACAGTAAAATCACTTCATCAAAGGGGATGTACAGCCTTAAGGTTTTCTGTACAATTTGCCTTCTAGAAAAGTAGCAGTTACAATTCCTGTAAGAGAACATCAGATTGTTCATATCCACATGTACTCCTTAACTCTAACACTGTTTTATTTTTCCATTCTGATTGGTTAAAAACTAGTATATATAATTGTAAATCAATTTTTCATCCTAGTGAAGGTGATTTTCTCATGTTTATTGACTTTTTTGTCATGTTGATTTTTGTATTCTCTTATTTGTGAATGAGTTCTTTTTTTTTGTTAAGGATATTAGCACTCAAAGAACATGAATAGTCTGTTTGCTTAACTAAACCATAGGTATTTGTTTTTTCTGGTGGTGTTATATAATATTGAAATTGTATAAACTTAAAGTTTATAGTATATCTTTTAAAATTTTATGTACAGTAGCCTTTTTTCAAGTTTATTTTTAAATAACTTTTGTATACTATGATCTAATAATGGCCTGTGTATCTTCTTTACTATGTAAAAATACAAGCTGAAATAAATTTGATAACTGTTAGATTACTTATGTGGAAAAGGAGAAATAAAAGACTAATTAATTAATATGTGTTATTTCATGACCAGTTTATTCATCTGATTTAATCAGAACTATTTTATTTTTTCTCCGCTAATAGCTACAAGTGTATTCATCAGAGTTTGGAAGATAACAATAGATGCCCCAAGTGTAACTATGTTGTGGATAATATTGACCATCTGTATCCTAATTTCTTGGGTGAGTCTTTGGAAAGATTTTTTATTTCTTTAAATATTGTTTCCCCGAAGTGTGTGCTAGCACTTAAAACATAGCTTTTGAGGGAAGCAGGTTTCTATTTCCTACTCACCAGGGTGTTTTCCCAGTCTTCCTTGGGTTGTGACATAGATTTCATGCCATATTCTTGTTAGTACCATATTGTGTTATTTTTAAATTTCACTAAAAAAAATTAACATAACTATTAGATTTTTACGTAGATGGCTGAACAGAATGTGAGGCTGAAGAGGAATGCCAGAGGCTCAGAATACCTGTGTCTTCATACAGTATTATTCATTCCTGCTGTTTCTGCTTCTGGGGTCCAAGTGAGAAGCAATGGAAGAAAGGGTTAAGGGAGAGGGGAAAAGGGGGAAAAAGCTTGGATATGAGGATTTTTGGATAGGGGAAGAGAGTCTGTGACCTGGGGAGGAATTGGAAAGTCAGAACATGATGAAAGATCTTAGGAAAAAAAGAAGTGTGATATTCTGCAGGGCTGGACTTCATGGGCTAGATTAGATAGAAAGAAATCGAGTCCTGCAAAGCAGAATCCTTTGTCCCTGAACTTCACAGACTGATGCTGCTGTGTGAGCTCTAGAATCACTTTTCAATCAGTTGACATAATTTTGGAAAACTATCTTCTTTTGGGATGTCAAATATAGAATAGAATCTAATGTTCTGAAGATTTTGGTACTTATTAAAATTTTAAGACAAATTCCTTAATGAGTTCTTAAGTTAGAAATTCTGTTATGTGCATTTCTAAATAGAGAACACTATATACTAATATGAAAGGAATATAAAATACAGTGTTGTTTTAGTTGGAAAGTGGCTTCATACATTTTATATGTACATACACACATACACACACACTCTGGAATATCCAGTGAACAATGAAGTCACAATTATTCAGTTTCTAAGCTAGAATTTATCTTGGGTATGATCTAGTTTTTAACCTTCTCTTTTTATGGGTAAAAAATTGTTTTTGGGTAATGGGAGTATATTTTATGCCAGTATTTGAAGTCTTTTAATTATAATGCAACTTCCAATGTTATTATATATTATCCATGGAAATAACATTCCTTCCTGATACACACTTTTGTTTTTTTGCCTTGCAGTCTTTATCTTTGTATGGTGATGGTCAAATACTTATGTTCCCTCAGTAGGTTAATAATGGACTATGTCTCCCATAAACTGAGATTTCAGGTCTGTTCTGAAAGTAGACTACCACTTGTTTTTTTCTATACTGAAAAAAATTTTCTAACTTACTTATTTCCATTGCTTCAGATTAAAATAACATAATTTGTACAGTGCCTGCACTTCTTGGTTGGATTAAGAAGACCTTGAACCTTTTAAAAGACAGATTTCCTCTGAGCATATACAAAGTAAATATATTCTACACAGTTCTGAATTACTCTAGGTAGCCTTGTACTTTTTTTATTGATAGGTTTTCTTCACTTTTAATGCTGTACATTTAAATTGAGTCATAGGTAGAGGGTTGGGCTGCCCATTTTCTGTATAAATGTTTTCAAACCTTTTTTTTTTTTGGCTTTGGTCACCCATATAAAAATCTGAAAAATGAATTATTTCTTCACAACTGATACCCATTTAAATTAGCATCCAAAATCTTTATAAGTTTAAGCTGTAAACTTAGTTTGTAAAGGATGTAAACTTATAAAAGATGTGATTTTTAAGAGTTGTAAATATGGTTATTTAAAAATAAAAGTTTTAGTATTTTTAAAATGTATCTAATGGAGTGTAAGTATCATAGTGATTTCATACTAATCAGTGATTTGAAAGCACTTTTCCCTAACAATGAGAACTTAAATTCTTTTTCTTTGAATTTCTACTTAAATTTTATATTGCCTACATAATTTTATCCTTGTATAAGGTATTTTCATTCTTGAAATTCTTATTGAGCTGTCTGTACTACTTTTCTGTAACAGAAAGGTTTATAAGTAATTACAGACTTAGAAGTATCTTTCAAACAATTTTCTATTTAATATTTTAAAAACTTAAATATTTTTTCTGGGTGGTTATTAGATTTACTAGTAGTATGTAATTAATCAAATAGATAATTACAAATTTTATGAAGTACTAGACAAAAAAACTTATTGCAAATGTGCTGCTTAATGTTTGATGGTGCCCTTCTCCTCAGTTAGGATAGGTTCAGTAATAGCTATTGATGGCCATTAGTATGAAAAGGACTCAGTTTCATTTGTATTCTTTTTATAATTTATTTAGAATCATCAGATTTAAAAAAAATTCAGATATAATTGATATATAACATTGTGTAATTGAAGACTTTTCCTTTATATTTTTAAAACACCTGGGTCTTAAGAAACTTTGCTTACATAAATAAGTTGATGGGTATTGAAGAAATTTTGTTACAGCAATGTCACTCAGTTCTTTGACCTCCTCCTGAATTATGTGCTTAAAAAACCATTTACTGGTCTATTGTCATAAATTTTTTTAATGCCCTATTAGATAATAAGTCAAGTCCTTTTTTCAATTTTAATGAAAGCAAATAATTGGATGTCAAATGCTCAAAAGGATTTGGTTTTCTGGTCATTAGAGTTAATACAGTTTTTTGTCAAGACAGATACTTTGATTTTTCCTTTCCTGCCCTAAGCATGGCACTATAGTCCTTCTTTTTCTGACTTGCCTCCCCCTGTATCTTCTACATTCTATTATTCCCCTCTACTCTCCACTGTCTACATACTTAGTCTTCTTTCCATTCTCCTTGGTGTTGAGAGCTCTCTTTTTTTCCTGATTCTGGAAGGCTCATGCAAGGTGAGCAGGTGTTTGGTCCCATCTCCACTCCCCACCTCTGCAATTGGTCTCCTCTACTACTGGCAGGGCTTGCTCCCTTGCTCTTCCTGTCCCTCTGTTGTTCAAGATCTCTCTAGGTGCCTGCCCTTCTCTCTTTCCCTCCTTCCTTCTTTTCCCTCTCTCTCTCGAGCAGTCCCTTTATTTTAGCTTTCTTTGTCTGTATATAAAATTGGTAAATTGAATTTTCTTATTTCCCTAATGAATGACCCTCTCACTCTTTAATTTTAAGGGGGAACATGTGTATAAAGTTTAAAGTCCTTGTTTAAAAAGTAGCTAATGCATGACAAATCAAAAAGTCTACATACTGAGAGATCTCTGAAATAAAAAAGTTTATTGAGCCTTTACAGATATAGCCAGAAACAGGACTGAATCCTGGGCCAGAAGTTTCTGCTTCACCAGCAGCAAGACCAGTTTCTCAGAAGCAACTTGTCTTCCCTACTTACGACACAGGGGACATTTATGAGGGGGTCTCAAGGAAAGAAAGTTGTTTAAATTTATAGTAGCTATATATAAAGAAGGTGGGTGGGCTGAAGTGAAGAGGGGAAGGTCTGGGGATAGGTGGCTAGTCCCTAGAGAAGAGTCATGCATGGTTGATGATGAGGCACTGTTCCCGTGCAAGGGGGAATGCAGTGGTTCCAGGCACCTTCTAGATAGTTGCTGAAATGACTTCATTCAGGAATGGGGAGTTTCTGGTTAGCTATGGCCCACTGCTATTGACTGATTACCTTCTCTTGTCTCTCCCCTGTTCTCTGTTCCTTATGTCACTTAATTTTAGGTCATCTCAGAATTTTTCCTTATACATTTAACATCTTTACTATTGCCAGGCGCTATTCTAAGTGCTTCATGTAAGTTAACTCGTTTAATTCTCAGTCCTGTGAGATAGATACTGTTGTTGTCATCCTCCTCCCTCATGTGGAAACTGGCACAGAGAAGTCAAATATCTTGCATAAAGTTACATGGCCAGTAAGAGGTGGCATTGGAATTTGGTCCTGTTCAGTCTGGCTCAAGAGTATTTGCTTTTACTATACTCTCCTACCTCTAAAAAGACAGTTGCTACAATGGAAGCTTTAGCAATAGAAATGCATTGTTTGTTCTTAGTACTGTGGCTGTTTTGATCCAGAGAATTATAATTATGGATATAGACTATCCTTCAAGCTCAGCAGTATATGAGACTTCTTGGTAAATGGGATGAGGTATACACATGTAAAGTACTACAGTTACTTAAGTTACAGTTTTTATTCAAATGATTAATTTTGTAACTGGAACATTAAACTTATTATTCACATACTTTTCTTTATTCCCACGACATTATTTCAAACTCCCTCCTTTGTCTTCCTTGGACTGTAATAATACTTTTGCTTGTGAGATAACATACCAGGCTCTTCAGAGTCAGGTTCCAGTTTGTCTGTATTTATAGCCTTAGTTCTTAGCACCTGTTAATGATTAACAAAATCACTCTGACCCTGTGTTTCAGCCACATTGATTTTTTTTGTTTTAATTAAGGTATCATTGATATACACACTTATGAAGGTTTCACATGAAAAACATTGTTGTTACTACATTCACCCATATTACCAAGTCCCCCTCATACCCCATTTAAGTCATTGTCCATCAGTGTAGTAAGATGCCATGGAGTCACTACTTGTCTTCTCCGTGACCCCCACACACACCACGTGTACCAGTCATGATACCCTACCCCTCAATCCCCTTCTTCCTCCTTCCCCACCTTCCCCCTCCCCTCCCCTTTGGGAACTGCTAGTCTGTTCTTGGAGTCTGTGAGTCTGCTGCTGTTTTGTTCCTTCAGTTACGCTTCGTTGTTATACTCCACAAATGAGGGAAATCATTTGGTACTTGTCCTTCTCTGCCTGGCTTACTTCACTGAGCATATATCATCAGATTTAAAAAAAATTCAGATATAATTGATATATAACATTGTGTAATTGAAGACTTTTCCTTTATATTTTTAAAACACCTGGGTCTTAAGAAACTTTGCTTACATAAATAAGTTGATGGGTATTGAAGAAATTTTGTTACAGCAATGTCACTCAGTTCTTTGACCTCCTCCTGAATTATGTGCTTAAAAAACCATTTACTGGTCTATTGTCATAAATTTTTTTAATGCCCTATTAGATAATAAGTCAAGTCCTTTTTTCAATTTTAATGAAAGCAAATAATTGGATGTCAAATGCTCAAAAGGATTTGGTTTTCTGGTCATTAGAGTTAATACAGTTTTTTGTCAAGACAGATACTTTGATTTTTCCTTTCCTGCCCTAAGCATGGCACTATAGTCCTTCTTTTTCTGACTTGCCTCCCCCTGTATCTTCTACATTCTATTATTCCCCTCTACTCTCCACTGTCTACATACTTAGTCTTCTTTCCATTCTCCTTGGTGTTGAGAGCTCTCTTTTTTTCCTGATTCTGGAAGGCTCATGCAAGGTGAGCAGGTGTTTGGTCCCATCTCCACTCCCCACCTCTGCAATTGGTCTCCTCTACTACTGGCAGGGCTTGCTCCCTTGCTCTTCCTGTCCCTCTGTTGTTCAAGATCTCTCTAGGTGCCTGCCCTTCTCTCTTTCCCTCCTTCCTTCTTTTCCCTCTCTCTCTCGAGCAGTCCCTTTATTTTAGCTTTCTTTGTCTGTATATAAAATTGGTAAATTGAATTTTCTTATTTCCCTAATGAATGACCCTCTCACTCTTTAATTTTAAGGGGGAACATGTGTATAAAGTTTAAAGTCCTTGTTTAAAAAGTAGCTAATGCATGACAAATCAAAAAGTCTACATACTGAGAGATCTCTGAAATAAAAAAGTTTATTGAGCCTTTACAGATATAGCCAGAAACAGGACTGAATCCTGGGCCAGAAGTTTCTGCTTCACCAGCAGCAAGACCAGTTTCTCAGAAGCAACTTGTCTTCCCTACTTACGACACAGGGGACATTTATGAGGGGGTCTCAAGGAAAGAAAGTTGTTTAAATTTATAGTAGCTATATATAAAGAAGGTGGGTGGGCTGAAGTGAAGAGGGGAAGGTCTGGGGATAGGTGGCTAGTCCCTAGAGAAGAGTCATGCATGGTTGATGATGAGGCACTGTTCCCGTGCAAGGGGGAATGCAGTGGTTCCAGGCACCTTCTAGATAGTTGCTGAAATGACTTCATTCAGGAATGGGGAGTTTCTGGTTAGCTATGGCCCACTGCTATTGACTGATTACCTTCTCTTGTCTCTCCCCTGTTCTCTGTTCCTTATGTCACTTAATTTTAGGTCATCTCAGAATTTTTCCTTATACATTTAACATCTTTACTATTGCCAGGCGCTATTCTAAGTGCTTCATGTAAGTTAACTCGTTTAATTCTCAGTCCTGTGAGATAGATACTGTTGTTGTCATCCTCCTCCCTCATGTGGAAACTGGCACAGAGAAGTCAAATATCTTGCATAAAGTTACATGGCCAGTAAGAGGTGGCATTGGAATTTGGTCCTGTTCAGTCTGGCTCAAGAGTATTTGCTTTTACTATACTCTCCTACCTCTAAAAAGACAGTTGCTACAATGGAAGCTTTAGCAATAGAAATGCATTGTTTGTTCTTAGTACTGTGGCTGTTTTGATCCAGAGAATTATAATTATGGATATAGACTATCCTTCAAGCTCAGCAGTATATGAGACTTCTTGGTAAATGGGATGAGGTATACACATGTAAAGTACTACAGTTACTTAAGTTACAGTTTTTATTCAAATGATTAATTTTGTAACTGGAACATTAAACTTATTATTCACATACTTTTCTTTATTCCCACGACATTATTTCAAACTCCCTCCTTTGTCTTCCTTGGACTGTAATAATACTTTTGCTTGTGAGATAACATACCAGGCTCTTCAGAGTCAGGTTCCAGTTTGTCTGTATTTATAGCCTTAGTTCTTAGCACCTGTTAATGATTAACAAAATCACTCTGACCCTGTGTTTCAGCCACATTGATTTTTTTTGTTTTAATTAAGGTATCATTGATATACACACTTATGAAGGTTTCACATGAAAAACATTGTTGTTACTACATTCACCCATATTACCAAGTCCCCCTCATACCCCATTTAAGTCATTGTCCATCAGTGTAGTAAGATGCCATGGAGTCACTACTTGTCTTCTCCGTGACCCCCACACACACCACGTGTACCAGTCATGATACCCTACCCCTCAATCCCCTTCTTCCTCCTTCCCCACCTTCCCCCTCCCCTCCCCTTTGGGAACTGCTAGTCTGTTCTTGGAGTCTGTGAGTCTGCTGCTGTTTTGTTCCTTCAGTTACGCTTCGTTGTTATACTCCACAAATGAGGGAAATCATTTGGTACTTGTCCTTCTCTGCCTGGCTTACTTCACTGAGCATAATATCGTCCAGCTCCACCCATGTTTTTGCAAATGGTAGGATTTGTTTTCTTATGGCTGAATAGTATTCCATGTGTATATGTACTACATCTTCTGTAGCCATTCAACTACTGATGGGCACTTAGGTTGCTTTCATATCTTTCAACCACATTGATTTTAAATCATCCTCCTCTTTTATGACTGTATGCTCACCCCCACAGCAACACACTCTTAACTGAATTCTTTTCCATTTCTCTTTCTGTTTAATGAATCTCTGTGTACCTGTTATGGCCCTATTCTAATATCACCTTCTATGTGAATCTTGCTTACTGACATTTTGATTTCTCCTTGTTCTGTGTTCTTTGTAAATCTATTTTGATGATAGTACTGATTATTGTGTTATATTACAACTACTGGATCATTTATATATATATGTTTCCTACTCTGAGTTGCTTGAGTCTTAGATTCTGAGTCTTAACATATCTTTGAATCCCAAGTCTTAAATACCTTGGAGATCCTAGAGTGGGTTTGGCATCTCTCTGGTTTGTTTGAAAGTATTTATAGCTGTAAAGTATTGAATAGTTAGATTTATTTCCCAACTCTTATCTTGTGCTACATGTCACAATGAATACATTCCTTATGCCCTAATTATCCCCTCATCTCTAAAATGGAAAGCCTGTTGGATAATGTCTATAAATTAAAGTGCCTAGTGCTAGTTTTCCTTTTCTTTATAAGTTTTTAAGTTGTTATTGTTGTTGTTATCAGTTGGCTGTTAAAGACAGAAAAATCCCATTAAAATTACTTCTATCCCCAGCATGTGCTTTGGTTCTTCAGCTAGATCCCTTCAAGATTGCACTGTGGCTTTCCAGATACTATCCCTTAATGCAGGCAGGAAAAAAACCCGTTTTCCTTTTATCCTTCTCTTTCTGTAAGGCAGCATACCCCTCATTGGTCAAAACTAGGCCACATACTGATTAAACCCCAGTCACTGGTAAAGGTGTGAATGACTAGATTGGTTTAAATTAGGCAAGAGTCATACATGGGGTTGGGGGTCATCTAGCTTCTCTGAAAGTACGTGGGAGTCTAAAAAAAACCCCCTTGTTATTAAATTAAAAAAAAGGTAGGTTTATTTTTGGATAGGTAACTTACCATGTCTGTCATGATGAAATCTATAAAAAGTCGAACAAGAAGAACAAACAAAAAGCTTTAGTGCTTATTTCCTCAGAATCAACCATTAACATCAGAGCCTGGGACATTCTCATACAGTGAAGAATTGCCTCTCTAAGTACCAGTCATGTAATCAGTGAGACATGTACAAGGAAGTGCATATTCTGAAGAATTCTGTAGTGTTGGTAGTAGGAATAATAATAATAGTTGTAGTAGTAGTTACAGTAGTAGCTGCAACAAAACTTTCTAATTTGAAATAATAAAATAGAAACTAGCATTTTTTGCTTAGCATCTTTTTAATTGTTTTTTTTTTAAAGTAAAACATAATCTAACAGAACAACTACATGGTGCATTTAACAAAAATACATATTATGTGTGCTTTTTGTTTTGTTTCTGTTTTCAGTGAATGAGCTCATTCTCAAACAGAAGCAAAGATTTGAGGAAAAGAGGTTCAAATTGGACCACTCAGTGAGTAGCACTGTATGTTTCAACTCTTACTATTTTTTATCAACTTTAATTTGTGGTTTTTATTGGCTTAATATTAATGAGATATTAAAGTTTGGTGTATTATTGATTTTTCTTAAAGGATATTTAAGATTGTTCTTCAGTAAAGAACATTCTTCACTGCATTGTCTCTAGTGATCACCTTAAAAGGTGTGGTGGGATCACATTGAGTCAGAGTTGACTGAAAATACAAGATATAAAGGATTACATAGCAAGTGTGAAACTCTGGGTGGTAATTTGGAAAAACTATTGAAAGATTCTCTATTTAAGAGGATTACCCTCAAAGTATTGTGGCAAATGAGCTTAAATTAATAATTTAGCAAATACAAAGTTAAGACTATGGCCAGACAAATAATTAAAATCCAGGCACTTATTTTAAAGGGAATTACACCTTTAGAGATGCTAAGTTAACATTTGTCTTAAATATGCCTTTCATATAATCTGCTATCTAAATTCATTTAAGAGAAAAACAGTGTTTATAATTAGAAGGCAGTGGGAAGCCACTAGCTGGGAAGGAGTAGGTTAGAACATTATGGTATGTTTTGATATCTGTCATAAACATATTAGGAAGTAGCAGTTAAACATTTGTTGTGGACTATCTAAAACAATCTTCTTAGGGAAGTTACTTTGTTTCTTCTCTTCTTCATTTTTAGAATGGTCACAGGTGGCAAATACTTCAGGATTTGTTGGGAACTGACCAAGATAACCTTGATTTGGCCAATGTCAACCTCATGTTGGAGTTACTAGTGCAGAAGAAGAAACAACTAGAAGCAGTAAGTGGCAGCTGAACTTCACAGATTTTATTTTAAATGGTATTCTTTATTACATTGAAAAATCTAGAAATCTTTAAAAATAATAGGGTAGTTACTCAGTCTATCCAGTTGTATTCAGCAAGAAACGTCTACAAGGTATCACTTCTAACAGATTCCTCTTTTTCAAGTAAAGAACAAATTTTTTATAACTTAAATTGCCATGGCCCAGTGTGTTAACATATGCTGAGTGTTAAGGAAGATCATGAGAAAAAGTTTCATTTTAATAGGGAATAATTATATTGGCCGTTTTTTTCTTCAAATGAATATCTTCCTTGCCATATCTTCATCTCTTCGTGTATGAGATTTGGAGATTATTTTTATCTACATAAAATCTTCCCATTGAGTGTCTATTGGCAGCAGCAGTCTTCTTTTTTTTTTTTTAATTTTTTATTAAGGTATTATTGATATACACTCTTATGAAGGTTTCACATGAGAAAACAATGTGGTTACTACATTTACCTATATTATCAAGTTCCCACCCATACCCCAATGCAGTCACTGTCCATCAGTGTAGTAAGATGTCACAGATTCACTATTTGCCTTCTCGGTAGCAGCAGTCTTCTATGGTTCAATTAAGGACATTTAGAAAGATGGAAATTGGAACTTAATGTATCCTGTTTCATATGAATAATGTAAATAAATGTGAAATTGCATTTATTTCATGTAAATAAATGTAAGCAATGCATAAAATGAATTTGCATGTATTAGTCATGAATTCAATATGATTCATTACAAGCAATGCACAGCTTAGCATAAATGCCCACCCTAACCTGGCTTAAGCAAAAAGTGGGTGTTTTTTGACAGGATAAGGAAGTGAGTAGGCCGCACACATAAAAAGGAAGAGCTTAACAACCAAATGTTGGGAAGATTGGAACCAGGGCATCTCTGGAAATTCTAAGGAAATGAAATCAGGCACTTGAATGTTGTTGGAATTCTTTTTTCAGTCCTCTTGTGTCAGTTTCTTTGGGACCGATCTTATTTTCTTTTCTTAGATTTTTATCACATGGTAGATAATGTGGACACTTGGACTTCCTCGTTTATATTTATTGTTTTTTTGATAAGGAAGAAAAGGGGCTTTCCAACTTCAGTTTAAATTCTGTGGGTAAGTTCTGATTAAGGGTGAATCTGGATCCCACCTAATAGAGTGGCAGTCGTTTAGTAGGAGAAAGGAGTAGATGAGGTGGAGCTTAACAAAATGAGTCTCTCACACTGCATCTTTCTGGGGGACAGGGTTGGTGGGAATTTGTTCTGTGTATTTTTGGGGGGGCTTTATCCAGTATTACTTTTCTTTCAGTTTTATTGAGATGTAATTGATACACAGCACTGTGTGAGTTTAAGATATATCCTAATAACTTGACATACATATATTATGAAATGATTACTGTAATAAATTTAGTTAGCATCTGTCATCTCACTAGATACAAGAAAAAAAAGACAAAAAAGAAAAAACGGTTTTCCTTGTGATGAGAACTTTTAGGATTCACTCTCTCAGCAACTTTCAAATATACCATATAGTAGTGTTAACTATAGTCAGCATGTTGTACCTTACATCCTCAGTACTTATATTATAGCTGGAAGTTTGTGCCTTTTGATCACCTTCATCTAGTTCCCCTACCTGCTGCCACTGGTAACCACAGATCTGATCTCTTTTTCCATGAGTTTGGTATTTTGCTTTGATTTCACACATTCCACATGTAAGTGAGATCATACAGTATTTATCTTTCTCTTGTCTGATTTACTTCACTTAGCATAATGTCATCAGGGTCCATCCCTGTTGTTGCAAAGGGCAGGATTTCCTTTTAATGGCTCAGTAGTATTCCATTGTATGTATGTATATAAAATGAATACTCCACATTTTTATCTGTTCAGGCATCGATGGATTGTAGGTTGTTTTCATATCTTGGCTATTGTAAATAATACTGCAGTGAACATAGTGCAGATATCTCTTTGGCACAGTGATTTTTTTTTTTTAGTTTCAGTTGGATGTATACCCAGAAATGGAATTGTTAAATCATAGTGTAGTTTCTATTTTTAATTTCTTTAGGAACTTTCATACTGTTTTCTATAGTAGTTCTACCAATTTGTATTCCCACCAACAGTGCACAAGGATTCTCTTTTGTTTGCATGCCAACATTTATTATCTCTTATCTTTTTGATGATAGCCATTCTAACATATGTGAGGTGATACCTCATTGTGGTTTTGATTTGCATTTCCCTAGTGGTTTCTGATGTTGAGCACCTTTTCATGTACTTGTTAGACATTCTAATAGCTTCTTTGGAAAAATGTCTATTCAGATCATTTGTCCATTTTTTTAATTGGATTTTTTGGGGTTTTTCACTATTGAGTTAATATGAACTCTTTACATATTTTAAATATTAACCTCTTATCAAATACATGGTTTGCAAATAGTTTTTCCCATCCCATAGGTTGCCTTTTCATTTAATTGTTTTGCTATGCAGAAGCATTTTAGTTTGTTGTAATTCTGATTGTTTATTTTTTATTTTGTTCCTTGTGTTTTAGGTGTCATATCCCAAAAATCATTGCCAAGACACTCCTATGGTTTTAAATATGGTTTTCTGTTACTATCTGGTATGTGCTAAGTGTTATGTTAAGGGCAGTAGAAAAGACAGGATTCTGCTGTGTGTGTGGGTGGGGAGGGGAGTTAAACTAAATCAATTAAGTAAATATTTTCACATAGTGATAAATGGTATAAAGAGACTTTGCTGTGATAGATTGAACATATGCAGTTACTTACTCCCTTAATGCTATGAAAATGAGAGTAAAGGTGCTTTAAAAAGTCAGAAGAATGGGAGAAGAAACAATGACAGCAATAGTTTATCAGCTATAAAGGAGGTGGCCAAAAAGCTATTACTAGTAGATTAGATTGAAGAAGGTTGAATACTGAGACAGCAGTGGGGGAATAGCTAAGAACCAACCCTATTTATGTTGTGGAGCAGAGGCCTTGGAAGAGAGCATTACTTACCTCATATAGTAAAGACTAAGAACAGGCTGATTGGTTGAGAACCTGATTAAGAAGCAGTTGCTATACTGATCCCTCCCTATACAACTCACAGAATGATTCTCCCTTTTCTACCTTTTCTGTGATTGCTGGTGAATTTTTTTTGCCCCCTGTGTTGGTGGTAAAAGGCCTCTCTGGGATATTGCACAACAGACACACTTAAAAGATGTGGTACCTTAGAAGATAGATAAGTTTACATACTGAATGTGAGATGTGTTAATGTTCTTCTCATCTTTTGACATACCATCTTTGCTTGCTTTTTGTTTTTTTGTCTTAGAATTGAAGAAATACAGGTATCTTATTTTTAGATCACAGATCCTTTTATCTTATTTTTTTGAAGAGGGAGCCAGCTCAGAAGCAAACTTCCTATGATAGGTTTTATAGCTTTTTTATATTACTGTTTTCCTATTTACTTCGCATTATTATTTAACTTGATGAATATTTCCAAGATGCAGAAAATTACAGAATATAATGAAATTCTTGACATACCCCATCTCAGTTTTAGCAGTTATTAACACTTTGCTGTGTGTGACTTAAATCTGCCTTTTGAGAATTAAATTTTTTTTGTATTTAAAGCCCTCTCATCTCATTCTTTCTCTCAAACTAACCACCACATGAAGTTGGCAAGGATTCTTCTCAAGTGTGTATGTGCTTTTCTTTGATGTATTTGTATCTGCAACCATACAAAGTATTTTGTATGGAATTGCTGTTCATAGGGTTTGCATGCTCATTTTAACCTTAATAATTATTGCCAAATTGCTCTTTTGTGGGTTTGTATCATACCAACACTTGGTATTTTCTCAATCTTAGTTTCTGTCAGTCTGATAGTTGTCACATGGTAGTGTTTTTTTTTGTGCGTGTTATTTTGTCATCTTTTTTTGCATTTCTGTGATTGCTAGTGAAAAAGAGAATTTCTTCATTTGTTTGGCTATCTTGGTTTCTTATTTGGTGAATTACCTATTCATATCCTATACCCATTTTCCTAATGGTTGATTTTTCTTACTGATTGATAAGAGATCTGTGTGTGTTTTGGATATTGCTTATTTGCCAAATATGTATTTTGGTAATTGAGTTCTAGGTGAATTGCATCATGGTCAGACAATGTGGTTTATATGGTTTTAGATTGGTAATTTTTCCTGATCCCATTTTACTTGCTTTGTTGCTTTATCAGATATAACACTTTGCTTTGTTTCTTTAGTGGTTGCTTTCAGGTTTTTTAATATACTTATTATTACATTGTACCTTCAAGTAATGTTATTGTACTTCATCTGTATTTTAAGAACCTTGCAATAGTATACTTTTATTTTCTTTCTCTTGGCCTTTGTATTACTTTTTGGCACATATTTTATGTCTGTATATGTTATAAATACCACAATAAATTGTTAAGTTTGGTTTCAACAGCAAATTATATTTTATGGAGATTTTTCAGAAAGACCTAGATTTACCCATATATTTACAATTTCCCATGCCCTTCATTGTTTTGTTTTCCATTCATTCTTTTGAATTTCATTTGTAATTTTCTTCTGCTTGAAGGAAAACCTTTCCTTAGTGCAGATCTGGTGATGAATTCTTTCAGCTTTTGTGTCTGAGGAAGTCTTAGTTTGCCTTTGTATTTATTTGAAGGGTACTTCCAAATAAGTATAGAATTCTAGATTTTTTTTTTCATTATTTTAAAGATGTTGCCCCATTGTCTTCTGTCTTGCATTGTTTCAGATGAGACTTAGTATCACTCATCTCTTGTTCTGGGAATGAAATGTTTCTTCCAGTTTAAGTTGTTCTTTTTGTGATTTCAAGCATTTTGATTTTTATGTGTCTTGGTATATTCTCATCCCCTTTTTCTTATTACTGGGGTTCTTTGAGATTCTGGACCTGTGGCTTTACAGTGTGTATCAGATTTGGAAAATTTTCAGTCATTATTTTTTCAAGTATTTTTTGTCTTCT